TATATACATCCATAGGAAATCCGATAGTTATCATATTTCTAAAATGGTCAGGTCGCAGTGGAATTCGATGATTGTGCCATGTGATCAGGCTTTCATGGGAAGTGCACATACAGAAGTTATGGTCCGATTCCGCCCAACTTATAACAGTTCACTCTATATGTTGTTACGTTTAGCAAAACAGGCAGGCAGGGAACGTAGCGTATGTTTGCGTGCGTGGTTGCAGGGTTATCCACATCAACATGCTCGACTCAAGCTCGCCAGCACTTTATAGAGGCCGTAAGCCGTTGAGCCTACAAGGGTAGACCTTGGAGCTTGCAGGCTGTAGTAGCCTACCGATCCATTGTCATTGGCCGGCCACCACCGTTGTGGGTTCGTTCAGTGAAGTCAGAATAGCGAACAACCTGGCCATCTGACAACAACGAAAAACATGCGGACACCGTAGAACTGCTCAAGGAATCAATGCAACCCCAACCCCATAAACATGAACGTTAGTAAAGCACAAAAGACCGCCCAGAGTGATATACCGTGCTACAAAGGACGTCTGTAAACGAAAAAAAGGGAAAATCCGAGAGCATAGGACAGGGAGAGGAATGTATGTAAGGGTGGCCTGAAGTTAGTGGCATCCTGACGGAGGGACAAACGTCAGGTGGGTAACGGGTAACCAGAAGTGGGAAACAAGTCTTACGTGGCTGGTTATAGCCAACGCCTTAGTAGAAGGCAGAACTCGAACCACAGACTCGTAACCACTAGACCAAAGGACAGGACTGTAGTCTAGACGGTGCCCGCTGTTTCGTATCGCTACGCAAGTCCATTCGAGGTATCGCGGAAGAGAAGAAGGAAAAACACAGGGTAAAGACAGTTGGGGAAGAGTAGTCCGAGCGTGGATAATGCAGAAGTCAGCAAACGTTTGAGGGGGACGGCAGTTGCACCATTAGGTAGTGTCAACGAACGAGAAATAATATTGGACGTCTTCCAGGTAGTCTTCGCATAAATAGGACAAATCCGCAAGATTTTATGGTTTGTTGATTTGGATACTTGCTCCTTCCAACTTCCTTACAAGCTGACTTCGAATCATTCCCATTCGCTGGTACAGTCCATTCCAAGGGACCTTTCAGCCTCTTCTCTTTCATCCGTTCACAGGTTGACCAGGCAGATGGCTAAGAGAAGTTTCGACGATTATCTTCCTTAGCCAATCTTCTGTCCCTCTCTCTTGCTCGCTCTTTTATTTTTACCGTTTCTTGCAACGCGGGAAATGCTGCAACCCGAAAAAACTGTTACTCTATGGTGCCAGGTATGGTGTCGCGACCATATCCTATATGGCCTTGCCTTTCCCCTGTAGCCACCTATACACACAAAAACACATACGGCACTGGGAGAACGGTCTCTAAGAAAAGACCGTTGTGGGCTTTTATCTGGTGGAATTACCTTCATTTTCCTTTCCTCGCCGACTCCTCACCCAATTCTCCTTGCCAAATGCCGACGACGGTCGTATATCTATGCTTCGAAATCGCCTGGACCACCGTAGCACTGAGCCTCTATGTAAGTAGAATTAGGAATGGGTCTTTCGACTGTTCAGCTTTGCCGTTCGCTGTTTGTGATGACCATTGCAATAGCTTGCCTTGCCTAACTTGGGTGGCTTGCGAAGTCTGCAAGGTTTCGATTGCCGGAGCAGCAGTTAAGGAGTATGGCTGGCAGCAGGGAAATAGAATGAGAAAAAGAACGTTAGAGGGTAAGCCCTGGCTTGGTAAGTGAACGGTCGGTAGTAAAATAATGTATATTTATTTCAAGTCTATAATAATAGTGGTCCCTTTTGGTCCCATTTAGACTCTCAACTTTCAGCTACTGTAGCCGACGTCATTCCTGAGAGTTCTTGGTACCGCTCGCTCTTCCCGATACCCTATCTGGAATCAGGGTAAAAAGATTTAGTCCGGTCAAGCCTTTGAAAACATTTCGGCTGACCGCTCTGACCAAAGGTAATGTTCGCTCCATATGTCACTCTCTCATACAGTTTCCAGCATCTTTATCTTGTTACGCTGCCTCCCTTTGGCCTATCTGTTTCTCCATGCCTTTCTCATTTCCTTCAGCTCATTTTTGCTCATCTCTAAAGGATGTGGTTAAGCAGGAACGGCTGAAACGGGCTTCTGCGTCGCTGGTTGCCTACTTTCTCAGAGTTTCTATGGAGATTCTTTTTGGCTGTCTGCTATGACTGGTCAGTAACCGGACTCTAACTAAGAAGGTTGTCCGCGACTATCGCTTTTCGCTTTTGGTGTGGTTGCTTGGAAAGATCCCTAAAAAGTCTTCCCATTTTCGGCATGTGGCTCGATGTTGAGATTAATGTAGTCTACCCCGAAGCTAGGTGATCTAGGGGAAAAAGGCAGCTGAATGTGTGAAGAAATAATTTGCCACTCGCTCAAGTTAGTCTTTCAGTCAAAAACACCTTCACCAACTTAAAGCCCAAATATTAGTGAAAAAATATTATAGGAAACTATCTCACAACTGGTTCATTATCCGTTTGCTTTAGCTATCTTCATTACACTCTGAGTTTCTATATCGGCAGAGTACAGCGACCCGATATCGACCTATCACCGACGCCTAGACGCTATTAAATAATCATGAACGTGGTTAGTGCAATTTTGGTATACTTGCCTGGGTTGTCATCCTCGGGTCGATTAGTGTAAATAACCAAAAAAAAAACATAGTTAGTCAAAATATTATAATTAATTCATGAGTTATATAAATGACAATTTCAAAAACCGAAAAAAATTATACGCACATATATCACTACTAACTTTTTTTTTTAACTTCTGACCTATGATATCCGTATCTCAAGTACAATCTATTTCATCGTGTGATGTTTTAGCTGTTATCTCGCTCTGTTTAACCATTGACTTCTACCGTACTACAACCTAACGTAAGTGTTCAACAACGTTTTTTTCTTAGCATAATACGAAATTGTGCAGCCATATGTGTCTATATATTTAAAACTTTTATACAGCAGATGTGGACCTAGACGCAAAACGTGCCTACTACTACGTAGAGTATTCTTGTTTTTCATGCGATGCTATGAGTATGCCCGTGAGATTCAAGAGGCTCCTACAGATGCTCGACTCGTTGGAAATTTTTGAGTAGCTTTTAAACAAAATGTCGTATATTGTTTGCAGTGTCGGTGCTTTCCGCGGGACTTACGCAGTGTTTTTTTGGCGACATGTCAACAAAGCAGGTTCGTTGTTTAAATAAATTACGAAAGCTAACGCTCGCTAAGTTAGCCGATGCTACTATAGCGTCACGATGCCCTCTATTCCCGATAAGACGGCAATTGCCACGAATATCCAATATTTTCAAGAGGCCTTCAATCCATGATTACTTCTTCGCAGCCAGTGCATCCCTTCTAGTTGAAGATGGCATTCCACCGCTAACGATCAGCAATATATTGACGGATATAGACGATCAGAAAAGTCTTCGATGCAGGAATGGTGTTCTCTTATGGAGCTTGTCGTCTTCGCATCACCCGCTAGCTAATCATGAGGGGGCTTACTATGGCTGTCGATTAAACTGGCGACAAAGAACGACATCGAGGCTAAGAAAGCTCTCCGAGAAGTGCCTAGCCCTGAAAAGGCAGGCGATTACACTGCCCTTTTCCTTTTAGGGGCGAGCGCAACTACGAGTTATTGTAGTTAACGGCAACTATTCAGCGTAATGGCATCACTGACAGTACGTGTCAAGATTAACGAAGTGTCGCAGTACGAAGCGGGAGAAGGCGTTTCTGGTGGCATTGTGAGCTGCCAATGGTTGCATTACGGAGCTGTCGCCAGCGTAACTGGGCATGGGCACTGCAATGGACTGCTGTACAGAAATCGCTATCAATACGTACTCATACTGCGTCGATGAGATGAGTCGAGGTCAGCTGCAGAGTATTGGCTATAGTCCGCAACGTAATTATCGTATATCCGTAGACCGTATCGATATTGCTGTTGCATGAACCTCTGACCCACTTATCCTTTTACACCTTAACCTCACGCCGTAGATGAATGCCTCCGCGTGGTCGGCCCCACGATATGTGTTAGCACGCTACTGGGCTATAATCAACATACCTGTTTATACGAGACGCAACGTACGATCCACACGGATAATTTCAATGTAAAATTCCCTGGTCTTTAAACTCTGCCATGTGGAAACTTCGTAGAAGATGGCCAGGCAAAATCCAAAGCTCTTCATATTTAAATAAAGTTTGTGAGTTAGGGCGCATCAGCCGAACAAGATACTTATCCTTATCAAGTTAGATGACTATATTGTAGAATCAGTTATTACTTTATTATAACTATTAGTAGTACTGGCACTAAGAGGATAGCGCCACTCAACCCGTGGTGGCAACAAGGCCCAGCGGCCTTCAAGTCTATAGGAAAGGATTTTATTTTTAGCATAAGTTCAGTTTTCCATTTTTTGCCGCAGTGTTTTTTCGCAAAATCAGGTCCTGTGTTGGAGTAATTCTTTCAAAAGTACGGAAGAAAACAAGGAGAAATCGTCCAAAGAGGCGGCAGTTCGTAGTTTGACGTAATATTAATAATCGGCACATTGCCAGGGATCAAAAAGAGTGAAGCTGTTTATCGAAACGTTTATTCTAAGTTTCCGGTAAAGAGTCTACCTGAGTACCATTTTAAAGCACAACTCACGTTGATACAAATAACGGCATAAACAGATAAGTATTTTTGGTCTAACAACATAAAGAGCTGAATCCATAAGTCTGTTTTATTTACAAGCAGGTTAAAAACTACGGATACGAAAAGGCTTCCGCTCGGAACAGTAAAACTGTTTGATTTATCCATTAAACCTTCGAAGTAGTATCGAGGTAATCTGAAAGCAAGCATTACACCTCTATTTTACATAGAGCTGAAACTCCTACGATATTACTACGGTTTCTGCGGTTCAGCCGATGTCTCAGTTATCTCTGTCCACTAAGATATCCGTCTCCTTCCGTAACAAAAGCCACTTCTTTTGCCATGCAATTCAACAGATACGCGCCAGCAGACAACAACGCGGTTAATAGTGAACGTTATTACGTAGATCGGCAGGCTTGGTCTTCTCGCAGTTTTATCGTTATCTATGTATGAAGAAGAGGTCGAAATCCGGATTCGATGTGTGAATGCGACCGTCTGAGTAGACGATACAACATACGTTGACGCCAATCAGAGGGCGCTTATACATGGCCTTCTGTCACTCGCTCTGGACCCGATAAAATTACGATTTTCGTTCATAAACTAAACTCCACTTAATGGATACTACGCCTATCATGGCGTTTAGTCATCAACTGCCAGATGTAATTGTTGCCATTCAACCTATTTCGAACCACATTCGACAGACGATACCTAACCTAAGAGTACATGACCCTTTGCAAACGAACCTCGGCTAGACGTTACAAATGATTTAGCGGTCGATCGCCCGCTAGACAGAAATAATTGTTAGTATTCAAGTTTGTTACATGTTGGAACGTGAATCTTTGATTTAATTGATAGAATCGCTAATAGCCTTCGGTATCTGTAGCCAGTCGTATATAAAGTGAAGGCATACAACCTGTAATTTATGTCTCGAAGTTCAGACATCTGAATATGGCGTTCCTTAATCTAAAATATCTTATAGTTTCCATAACGTCGTGGGGTGTGCGCGTTTCGCTTTGTAGCTAAACACTAGTTATAAATAAGTTAGCACCCAAGTTAGATAAATAAGATAAATTGCGGTGCACACTTGATTCGTCTTTAACGCTTAGTAATATAGCGTCGAGCCTTAGATCAGCTGCCAGCATCATTCCATCTTCCAAAAATAAGACCATACTGTGATGTTTTTCCGATCTTTTGTCCAAAATGTCCATCGACGTCATCGAACGACGAAAAACCTCTTCGAAACAGAGCGCTATACTCCGTGCATCACACGTTAAGGCTGATCTATGTAAAAAAATAAACAATACAGTCTAGCAGCCTGGGTCGTATGTATAGAACTCGTTCATCTATATTCGTATATTTCGTTTCTTAGATACAACGTTATTATATAATATTCTATCGTTGAACTTCTGTACCCTGTGATGCAGCTGGAAATCGGCACGAGCCGACTGTTTTTTTTAGGTACTGATAACAAATATTTAACACTGCTTCTAATGAAATGCTCGGGCTGCCAGGTTCAGCACGCGTGTGAAGCGCTGCTTTTGTTTGCTTGACATGTCCAATTTGAATAGGTAGTATTTCTTAATTTTCAATTATGAATCTTCAATCAAGTGGCCGTGAACGGTTAGGCGAAGCAAGTGTCCCAGTAACTAAATCCGTTACAGCTACTAATTTCCCGCTTCTTACCGATTGACGAAAATTGTATAAACTTCAAAGTATAAATTACGATGTTTCGGCTTGGAAGGCCTCCTAAAGTTCTTAGCGGTGCAAAAATTCGTGACAAAGAATGCCCACCACGAGAAGCGTCACACTGGCGAGCCCTCTACAAACGACCAATAAGAAAAATACTACCGTCAAAGAGGTATAGCGGTATAGAGGTATTGAGGGAAACGTTGAAGACAGCAAATGATATCCGTGCCGTATGATGCCCTATTACAACCATCTGTAGAGAGTTTACATTCTTGAAGGGGCACGCTCGAGTGTCGAAACGGCCCGACGCTTGGCAAAAGACACCTGGAAAACCACGTATCACCTTAAACGAGAGGAGATGCCAATTGCTCAACTCAGTAGCAGTGTTGGCCATGTTTATTTCTCTTTCCAAAATAAAAGCTTTTTCATAAAGAGTGAGAGAAAGTAAAAAAGGCACAAGAAAAAGAGAGAGAAGGCGTTGGAAAGGAAACTAGGGAAATGGTCGAGAAGCGACGCGTTATTGAACAGTGTTGTACGCGACTGTGGAATCTGCTCATTGCCAAAGTTGGTATGTGACGACGGCGACCGCCGCTGCTGCTGCTGCTTGTGCAAGCTGTCGGGTGATTTGGAACAGCTCCGAAAGAACAGCTCTTAATGTGCTCTGTGTAGCGTCGCTGCTGCTAAAAGGTCAGGGCTTTCATCGCGACCAGGAGCGACGGTGGTGGCGGCGGCGGCATCGAGTTGTGACAGAAGCTTCGTATGGAAGGCCCCCAACGTCGGCTTGAAATAGAGTGAGGTAGAACGAAAGCGGCATGTCATTGGGTTTTAGACAGCAATAAAAAGTTAAAAGTGTGCAAATAAAACCGTGGACGAAAACGGCCGAAATAAACGAATTTAGGTAGTTGAAAGGTCTAGAAGGACCGCGAATGCTTTTACTCGACGCGACGCCTCTCCTGACGCCTTATAGCTATTAACTACGGTTTCGCTACGCAAACATTGTAATAGGCGCGGGGGTGCCGAAATAGAGAGAGGAGAGAGAGAATCAATTTTAACATTTTATCTTCATAGGTTTTTATGTGAACCGATACCTGAGTCTCGCAAATAAATCGAAAAAAATGTCTTATTTCCACGTAGTATTTAGAATTTTGTTACCAGGTGAATGGTCCAAGCCAAGTTCAATACCCATAAAATCAATTTGTGTTTTGACTTCGACGCCGAAGAAGGTATTTGGTTGAATATAATTGTGGTTCTAAATGCAGCTCATCGTAGAAGTAACTTCAGTCTTGAGCTTTCGCTGGGCATTTACAAATCAAGCATAACGGTTCTGCCCAAAAAAGGCCTAACACAAACTAGCGAAAAGCTGTTTACCAAATATTATGCGTTTTCGCATTAGACATACGCTAATATATCATCCAATGTTATCTGTTAATATTCTGTGAACCACAAAGGATAATGGCTATGGCTAGGGTTAGCGCGAAATGTAGCTAGGTAGAACGTCTCCTCACCCATCACAGATTGCTTATACCTCCTTCCTTTATTCTATTCGTACAATTCGTTTCAGTGGCACCTTCTATTACAGTCGCACCAACCTTTGTCACGACCAATTTAATAACAATTTTTGTATAAATTTATATCTACGGTATTGCTAGTGGGTCTGCCTCTATCACAATACGGTCTTAGACATTGTAAATGTCAGGGTGGAGAGATTATAAATTGTTTACGGCTTGATTAGGAATGGAACGTAGTGATCATTTGAGAGAAATAAAACTTCCAATTGGCAAATATCACAATCGAGCCCTTTTTCTAATCTCCGAAATTGGCAAAGGTTCAAAGAGTGTGGGTGGCGTTTTGGAGGTAAACCCTTACTCTGAGATATATACAGAGAGAAAGAGAGAGAGAGAAGTGGCGACTATTGCAGACCATCATTTGAAAGCTAAGCTCTTCTACGTAGACTTAGCTAATTTTTGCGCGGCCTATAAACGAGCCATCTACCCTCGCGGCGTTTGCTACACAATTGGCCGCGAGTGACGTGGTCATCTTAAACTGGAACGTCCGATGCCCCAGTATGCTTTTTTATTTCGTATAACTTGTTATTCATCCAAGATTTCCATGTTCCTCCCTTTTCATTCCTGGTCGCGCTCTGGATTAATCTTCGGTTGTCTTTCTGCCATTCCTAGCTCAACTCACCAACCAATCGCTTCTGTCGTCCTTCTCTTGAATAGGAAACGAACGTTCTCTTTGGTTGAACAAAGGGTGTACGAACAAATACGACCAACTATATGGTTCCTTCGCTGATTTAACCCTGTCGACTGTTCAGCTCGTTGATTCTATCGCTATGTTAGGTCCGTGTTTGCCTATTAATTTTTCGAGTTATACCAGTAGGAAGGTGTAAAATGGTTGTGGCCGGTAGCTTTTGCCGAACAGAGGGCTAAATGATTATACGGCAGAACGAGAGTGGCGGTGTATAGATAGACCACAGACAGAACTGCTGTTGGGGCTGATAAGAACCGTAATGAAGCTCGTAATGATTGAGCTAACTGCCGTATTATTATATGCCACCATGTAGCATAGCTTCGTACGCGTACAAATAGGAATTTATCCGTAAATCATAAGAGAAAGACGAACTGGGGAACAGTATATATCCATCAATGAAACGACGGTACTTAAATGTCAGGCATACGAGTGAGAAAGTCGTTATGTGCAGAAAATTCGACGAGTTTTAATCTCACCCAAGGAATACTAGGAAAAATGTCTAGTTAGATCCGTCTGATCAAGGTTGACGGCGATGATAAGTTTAGTTGAACGGTTTCGAAGACACCAGATAGGATATACTGCTATACTATACGATTTATTATTATTATGCTAGTTACTAGCCACCTGCGGTCGCTTGCGTAATGTTAATACAATAAGTTCATATATTGCAATGTAAAGTTGATACATATAATTGCAATACATTACCCTATCATTGGAGTCGAACCAGCGTTAGTACGAAGAATACAACACACAGCAGTGCATCGAACAGCAGTGGATGAATGTTTCTAAATTAATAGTTTTTATATAGTCGATGATTGATTGATTGCTCTCGTGAGCTATTTTGGAAGACCGTCAATAGGCGTGTTTTACGCGATTACTGTTAATGCTCTTAACAACATAGACATAGTACGGCCGCATTTTTAAAGATCGTATGAAAGAGCAGTACAACCGTATATACATTACATACGTACAGCGCAATGTATATCGCAAAATCCTCAAAATGATCGCAGCTCTCCCATGTATCATAATTCCTGTGTATTCTACACCCAGACGTACGTCGTTTCTACATGGAACAGGAATAAAGTAAGATTAACCGGCTCTGCGATCATTGTGTATTATTTTCGCGCCTCAGGTAAAACTAGGATGCTGCTATTGACCGGCCGGCGCGTCCACTAGAAAAACTGCCGTCAACGGTGCCCCTGTCTGGCGCGGCTTGCCCCGTGCCGTCGGCGAATTGTCTGCGTGATTTATCGACTTCGTAAATTGAGTTTGTTAGCCTTTCGACTAAAATCCCCTCCTCACCCCCCTCCATTTGACTCCTACCAGGGGCCTGTTTGGCAAAAAAGCAGTAAATTGTAACACATAGTTGGTGTTTGTTCTCTAAGAGTGCATTTCCAAAGAAAACAAGTGGCATGTCTAAGTCTATTTAGATCAATTTGTAGTTGATAAACGATGCGGCGGTCGAAGTTATTCATTAGCAAGCTAGAGCGATATAATAACAATGACTAAACAAAAATATATTGCCTAGCAAATAATTATTTTGACAGCTAGCGTTTTTTTTTGTTGTTATTACTACTACTTGTGTAACACATCAGTTAACGCGTAAACTCTGGATACTGGACTTCCAAATGTTTGATACTACACAACGGTACGATATTTTTAAAAGAAAGAAAATTAATATTCCAGCTGGGTCGTTCTCACAGAATACCTGGCCATTTGGTGGCTATTATCATGAACGTCTACAAAAATCTCCCATAAACGCGACCAGCCAAAATGGCGCTGCTAGAAAACGCGTCATAGGCAAACAAATTCGTTCAAATGAAAAATCGACCCTTTCTATTTTCGTCCGTTTCTTTGCATTAATTAGACTTAATTTATTAATTTTTTTTCTCAGTTTTTACAAAAAATATATATTCACATTACCCTAGGAAAAGATAACACGGCAAACTAATGAATCGCCTTAGTCATTATTGCTACGAATTAAAACCCATATACGTATACTCTATGATGATTTTGGAAATGATGTACGCGCAGCAGACGTACTTTGCTACTGATTTGCTTGATTTCGGTATGTTTTCTGTTTCGCATCTATTTAATGCGGGTTTAATCAATGTCGAAAATGATACAGCGCGTATTTTTACAGTAATCATCGCGAGCAGCTTGTCAGTACCTGTATAATTTTCTATCTCAAAATGATAAAAATAGGAAAAATCGATTGTGGCTTCTGTCGAGAAAAGAGTAGCGTTCACCGCAGGTAGAAGTCTGCTCATACATATACGGTACATAAATATATACATCAAAATAGCACGCGTTTAGCATTGGTTACGCTGACATAATGTTCTTCGATTAATTAGCATTAGAAGAAAGTAATTGGATTCGATGAATCCTATATTACGGGAATCAAGCAATATGTTTTCCTTGTGCTCTACTATTTATCATACTTTGTAGTTGTCCAAGGAAAAAGGATAAGATTGATTTTTTTTTTAATTAAAGCAGCACAAATTATAAATAGCCTCGCTTAACGCCGACATTACCCCCAAGGAATGCTTTTAGAAGTTAGACAATTTCTCGATTCTGGTCGTTTGACTCAACTTTTTCATTGTTGAAAATTTTCCTGAGTCACTACGTTTGCCAGAGCATACACTTTGCGTCTATGTATGTATTTTCTCTACAGGTTGAACCGTTATGATCAATACGTTTACGTGGGTATGGGGATTACGGGCGAGCCACTATTGTTGCTGCACGACATGCAGTCGCATTTGGTTGGAATTAGCACGTCTCGGGTCTCGGTGTGCCCATTCCTGCACTCGAACAATACTTTGATCGTAGTATTAGCTGTTGGCACACAACACCAACAATCAGTAGTCGGCTGGTTATCTGAAAAACAACCGCAGTACAAAAAAAAAATTAACCCAAGCTGTAAGAAGTCTCGCAAAAATAGAGACGGCTGAGTCGCTTAACACCAATGCCTGGCGTAAAAGTAGAAACATAAGGAGTAAAGCATACGTAACGTTTGCTCTTGTGATTGTTTGCAAAAAAGACGCTTTATTCCCGGTATCTATATTATGCACGAAATAGAGGAAAATAGCAAATGAATTTGCCAAGAATCGAACACCAACTACTACTCATAATGAGGCCTTTTGTCACGGATCAGAGTAGGCCGATGGCGACGCGCGGTTTACAAGAAGTTTGCTTATATATATATATATATATATATGCGCGAATTCCCTATATATGAAAATGTCCGAGTGAATGTCACTGTACTAATATACTAATACTAATCAGAAACCAGAATTTAAAGCCTAGTATGAAGATGAATAGCGATGGCTGACCGCGCTGGGCCCTTCTTTCACACAGCCTCGATACGAGTCTACTAGGCAAACGAACTTTTCTGCCGTTACGATGATTACTGTTCTTGTTGTTTAACATGCCGTCAAAGGCACACAGTCGTTCACGTATCCATCAGTAGGCATTATGAATTGAATAGATGGTTGGATGACCTGGAGCCTCTGTCGTTGGAGTTTAACGAGTAGAATGACCTACATCTATGCTCCCCATATCATATGTTTAAGATGTCTTCTTATGTCTGGCATTTTCATTGGCAGGCATAGGTTGTTCCCTTGCGTACACCGCAGGCAACAATAGACTTATGACCAGGTGCCATTGGAACAGGCGCCCTTTGTTCCACAGCGTACACGGTGTGGGGGCACCGACAGGCGGTAGGTTCTTAGCCGGGTAAAATTTGATGGCACACCGAGCGTCCCTGCAGGAGTTCAGTTGAAAGCAGTCTGCACGTCAATAGACACGTGGATCTGCACGGCCAGATTCAATGGCATCTAGGAAAAGAGAGTAATCTTTAGCATTCTTCAGTATGACTCGGGAGCAATACGTTTCCGTCACATATTGAGTAGTTGCTTCGCCGTCCCATAATCTTCGTAGCATTCCTAGCGAGCTTATAGGTTCCCATCCATCCAAAGACGATTCTTCAAGCTGCCTTTCCCCAGTCGCTACGATCGCAGAGCGTCTGTGCACTTTGTAGAATTCTCTACTGCCTAGGTAAACGTATTTGTTTTGCTAGCAACGAATGTGAGTTTGTAAGCAGGCCGACCACTTTCTGGATCCTTCGTCGTAGCCAAACCTATAGATAGAGTAGGGTATTTTCCCCCCAGCTGTCGTTTATTTCCGATTCACTCTCTCATGCGTACATATTTGCTGGCTATATTTCACAGAACAAAATGCCAAACGGTACACCGGCAGATGCTGCTAACACGAAATAGGACCAACGAAATGCAACGCAAAGATTAGCTACCTGTTCGGCAATTGCGTCTGCCCCTCTAGCGTGGGGTATCGGTTATGGTTCGGCTCCTGGAAACCTAGACGGGTCACAACTTTACCGGTAAATGTATCTGGATCCCATACAGTTTCGCTATTGTCTACATCATGCAACTGTGCTGTTATTGTAGAAAATACGAATAGATCGAGATTTGTCTCTGATCATTCATCTGGAAGGTTGTGTGTCTTGCGAAAAGGATGCACTGAGATTCCACAGAAAATCAATTTTCGAAACCTAAGGCTTGCGATCATAATCGAGTTGCCCCCTTCCCAACATCCTAACGCAATAAATATCAATGAATCCTTAAAACTATCGACTCACTTGAACCTATGTGACTTGCACACACAGTAATAATCCAAAGGATGGTCAAGGAGTTTAACTATGCTAATGTTTCCTCTACATTACACTACGTTAACTCGTTTCATAGGAGTACAGTGGGAGACAAATCATGCGAGCAAATCTACCTGCTGGTCAACGTTGGTAAGTGTACATCTGTTTATATATGCATCCTTTTCGGACAACGGAATAATGCGGAGAGAACACGACGTGATCCTATCACTGAAGGCGCATACTTTTTCTGCTTAGATTCGAAAGGGCCATAGTGTACTCGTACTGAAGATTGGTGCAAATAAGGCAAAATAACTATCAGCATATAGGTTTTACAAATAAGGTCTAAATAGAAGACACATCGTGCCTTATTCATAGGACTACCCAACCGCTGTTCTTCAAATGTCTGAATACGGTAAAATGAAAGAATATCAAAAGCCTAGTAGGCACGTGATTGATACAGATTTCATATATGTCGGCCATTATAGCAACGAAAAATGCGTTTGGCACTTACATAGAAATCTCGAGCTTTACGTTCGATACGCATTGCTTTATGCGGCTGGCCCCTCCCACCGCCAAGTGGTGTCGTTCTACGCTCGGCTACTTTAACCTAGACCACCTAAACCTAAAAAGAAATCACTCTACGACTACATCATTACGGGGACACGTATTTCGTACTTACCGAAGGTAAATCGTCCATTCGATTTGCAATAACCGATGCACTCTTTTAAGTCGACGATTTCTTCGGGGTTGTAACAGGTGACACCTCTCTCATCTGCAAACCTGAAGTAGCGAAGTGTCTCACGTCTCGGCACTGTTCTTTCTTTGCATATTACTAACGAGAATAACAAAAAATACAGAACGATTAGAACCTTATAAAAGTAAGTCAATGATATATGTAAATGTTCAAAATAGGAAAAACCACTGCCTTATTTGTTGGCATTGATATATGATAAACATCCGGTGCAATATCGCTCAAAGGTCCTAAAATCCTAAGGGTTGCTTGTTATCGCATTGCAAGCCCGCAAACTGTTCGGTAGCAAAACCTGACAATATATTCTACCCACAAAATTAAACGTATATGCGAACTCTTTCGAGAAGGTGAAGCTGAAAATGGTTCATTGAAGTAGGATCAGCGGAATTTCTATCATTTAATATACTATACAGGCGTCACGACAAAGTCCTGTATGGCGTTTTTAAGGACCATGCATTCCTAGTCCCAAAACACATTTATGCGATGGATATGAGTTTCGAAGCAGGTTTATGTTTTCACATGACTTGAAACGAGACCAAGTCTCGCTCTGCTGACCTAGAACAATTTTTTTTTCTGTTCCTTTGAGTTCAACTCAATCAGCACTAGCCTACTATTATGAACTGAGCTGCGAGCTCGCAAGGCTTAACGGATGGCATAATCGATTTGGGCACAAACTTTGTGAACTTATAGAAGGCTATGAATGCGCGTAAGAACATAAGTCTCGATAAAATCAATTTGCCCATCTCGACCTGCTGGAAAAGATGGCGCTCATCAAAAAACGTCCGGCTTTGAGAAACCATTAAAGAAGTCAGCTTCAACCTGCACTATCCGCAAATCCGAAGCTGATGTATTTTAGTAACGCGGTGACGGATGAAGGATTGCGGTGTTTTAGAAGGCAAGATCTTTCTTTTCGCGTTGATGGTAATAGAAGAATCAAAGTGGGACAGTGGAGATTTCCCGAGACAGGAGAAAGCTATAAAAGTTTGGAAAATTTTGTTCAACAAAAATTACGATGAGTTCACTGTCTTGTTGGGGTTGCTTTAATGGAGATTGGTGCTAAGCAGAAATAAAATCTGACCCAGAAAACTTCCGACGGACGCCACGAAAGAACATGACGTGTATCGTATGAAAATATAACCCACTTTGGAGCGCTGTTAGTTAGACAAAAGATTAGCTTACCTCTTAATCCATCCAAAGCAGTAGAAATAATCATATTTTACCTAAAACGAAACGTACGCGAGGGGGGGAAAAGCAAGTCAACTATATAATATAACCATTTTCTAACATTGATTGATATATATTACGCACAGTTCACTTTATGGGGGCAAAATGCTTGTATTGCCAGTGCCCGTAGTTTAATTGCAGGGGCTTTGCAGCCCCTTTCATTAAACATTTCTATATGTTTGTATGTATGCTGAAAATTCCAATGACATCATTTGACTTAGCGGAAACAACATATGTTGTGTTTCATATAATAGTTTTGTACAAAAAAAAAAAAAAAAAAAAAAAACAGTTAAAATTTGTCGCAAATTCTACGAAATTGTGACAAATCATTATAGGCCAATAACAGTTGATGCCAGAACTGGAATCGAAAAGTCATCGAGACTACTTACAAGAAGCAGCTAGTTCGTCGTCCGCGGAGCACAACAAACTGAAAATAAGACAACGTTTATAATAAGCAAAACATGAATGTTGATCCAAATCGATCTATTTCCTTTGTGCCATATTAATTTAAAAAACCATTATAAGTTTAATCATTGAAAATGATGATTTCCATAACGTTAACGTTAACACTTATCCATTCTGTCCATCTGGTCTCTATTGAATTAGAGATCGAACAACATCTATTGCGTTGCTGGCAGATTTGTAATTAAATAAAGTCACAATAGCCAAACGGTGGACTGGTGATCTAAGTAAAGGTCGGCGAACTTTTTCTTAAACGATTTATTTAAATTATTTCTGTTGTTGGGTGGACTTTATCCGAATAAGAATAATTGATTAGTGTCCCTAAGATTTGAAACTAAAAATACACTGCGAAGTTTATTTCTCTGGCTAAAATTCTCTACGCGAATCGGAAAAAAAATGTACTTCAATATTGTATGCGTAAAGTCGACACCGCACTGGTTCATCCAGGGTTACAATCTTGTGCTCGACCCAACAATTGCGACTCATGAAGCGATGTCGATCAAATTCCCAGGTAAGTGGGACCCGTCATCGCGATTAGTAAACTAGTCCTACATCTGGACCTCTTCTATGAGTACCGGCAATGTCTACACAATATAGTCACCGCGGAACCACAAGCAATTGATTTCTCTATGGATTAGTTTTTCAGTCAACCCAATTGTACAAAGTGAGCATCATCAGCTCGTACTTGTACGGTTCTGGGTCAAAGAGAAGCAGTAGGGTTCGACACCTCCGTTAGTGATGGACATCGCTAATTCTTGTCATTCTCACGAAAATTTGCGATTGATACAATCGGTTCTGGGCGGTGAAAAAATGGTCTTTTGCGACATCTGTTTTGGACAAGTCAGTGTAATATACATATGTATTTATCTGTGCATGATTTGTGCAGGTCGCGACACAAGAATGGACACTTTGGATATCCTCTCATTATATTGTGCATATAATTCTACGCTGAGTGCTCCCTTAATTATCTACTGGTCTTTGTATTTGTTTTTATAATTTTTTTGAGCTTCCGCAAAAGGAAGTTTATGATTTGGTAGTATAACGCAGTACGAATGATTTGACCCGACATGTAGAACTAGCTGATAATAATGTGCATAAATAGAAAAAAATATAATAAGCAATTGTGATAATTACCTAATAAATAATTCAGAAGGCTTTTGAGGTTCTTCGCCTTAAAGTAAACGTCTACATTTAAGTAAGCAAAGCAAGATGTCGGACAAATACATCATCTATTGATGCATAAACTAGGCAGTCAGGGAACAACTGATTTTTACAAAACAACACCCAGAACAACCTTTAATAGAGAGTTCTCGTAGTTAGAATTTCTCAGCGAGTTGTTAAATAGACAGAGCAATACTTAGCGGCAACTTCTTTATATATATATATATAAACGTTTCTAATCGGATCGTTTTCTAGAGGAGAGCTAGGAAATAGCGGGCCGTCTACGGTAGTAGCAGGGTGTTCGAAGCTTTAAATCGATCAATATCAGATATTACATACGTAAGGTTCGTTAGTAGCGGCTGAACGCACAGTTTGTGGACGTCGCTTGCCAGCTCTCGGCTATAGCCTATTTAGATAGAGACATGCTTACGGACAGGGTTCCACGTTAAGCAAGAGTTGTACGAGACAAGACTTGCCATATATATACATATATATATGTATTGCTATATACATATATATATATATATATATATATATATAGCAATACAGTAGCGCATTGTGCAAACAAAAGGCGGATATTTATTCCGATACTGACGTAATTAGGTAGACACTGGATACAATTTCGCTCGATCGCTACGGAGCGTTTTCTCACACTATCGAACTATGGTCCACAATCGAAAATAAATAGCCGTGTCAAATTTGGTCACACCGCTTGTGCTAGATGCCCGAATGGGGCCCACGGGTTGTTTTCGACGTAAAAACTCTATTTATCCATGTTAAAAAATACAATATTAAGCAGTTGACAACAAATTCAGTGCTACAAAAATTCGTATCATTTAAGTATGAAAACGATCTTTTCGGCTAGAGCGTCGAAAACAAAAGTGCGTTATCTTGACGACACAAATTGTGTGAAATCTATTTTTACCGCATCATCACGTGAGCATTTTCGTTCTACTGCGAAATCTTACCTTTGATAGGCCAGCAGTACAAGGAAGCAAAACACGTAGACACGATCCATCGCTATGCCGTCCCGTCGAGCTGGGCTTCCTCGATTTTTACATAAGTCTATTACTGTACCAATTTAATTAAGTTATTGTATTCTGCACAATTCTCTAGGGCATCAACTTGGCCGACAGGTTTCCGCTGTCAGCCTGCCTTTCCGCGTCTCGGCTACGGCCGCTACTGCTGATCGAAACGATATGGCTGGAACAAAACTAGGATCGCTATGCGCTAGTCTTCAAGCTGTAGCAGCTAAAGTACTGCACGCACGTTGGGATGTCTCTCTGTTCGTAGAATAAATACTATTTGTTCATAAAGAAACAGAAGGAGGTTCACCGAGCGGGAGAGGGGTGAGCCCTGTCACCGAGCTCTTTCTCCGTGCGCTATGCGAGCATCTCTGGTGCCTCGATTGTGGCGACACTGGGGGGTCCAGTCTCCAATAACCTGGCGGACGGTGACGAAAGCCGGCCTCTGCCGTCTCTCTCGGCTCGAGTAGATGCGGCGGCACTCACATTCGGTCCACGCGTCTCTCGTTATAAATAGCGAGATCCCACCGGGACATGCGAACGCTCTCGCGAGCAGAGCGATAGATAGGCAAACCTGTTCTAGTCACATTTAATCATCGTCGTCGTCGTCGTTTTAGAGCGAAAATTGTTCGGAATATATATATATATGTATATATAACTTAACCTTGCTATACTATTCGGACCCACAACGAACGATACATGTTGAATTAATGGAGCTTCATTTTTTCGGGTGCTGCTAGATAGGCTGTTTTTCTGCCCTGCATCGATTTCCTGAGCGTGATTTTTTTTGGCTATTCAAGTCACGAATCTGAGGCACCCCAGAGCCAACGCACCGGTACGGCCTATAGTTAGGTGAGTTCAACGTTGGACGATCTGGCGTCGTGAGCATGAAGTGTCGATTCGTTGGCTTGGAAAAAAGGGAGCGCAAACAAACCAAACCGAGCGATAATATTCCTTCAATGATAATTTTATTATTAATTATGTGAACGATAGTCATCAATGGTAGTCGAGTGTTATACGAATGCTACCATGAATGTCATTTGATTTAGATCAATTCAAAGTCCTTCTTAAATTGGTCTCTAAATGTTTGAAGTCAGCTTTGTTCCGATTTTCTGCTCCTCGTAAAGAAACAATCCTGTGGCTAAGAACTCTGAACAGCGGATCAGCAACAGAAATGTGGCAATCGACCAAAACGGACGTCATGGAGCAAACTGCAGTTCGGGGCATTCAAACTATTCCTGCGCAAGCCTGGGTTAAGTCACATTTTTCGTACCTGCTTCCGCAAGCATTGACGATCACATATTCAACACGGCTCTTGACAAGAAAGCTTTTCAGACACGAAATATAATACGCACAAATTATTGGAGAATCGAGAAGGCATCGTACGTCAGGCCCTAGCCAGCAGACAGCGGCATAATGGCAAAGAGTACAGCGTTTTTATCTGAGGCACCAGGCGGCCACAGCATTCTAACAGATAGCTCATAGAGAGGCCAGTTCAATTCATTCAAAGCTGCCACTAGGTTTTTCCACCGTAAATGTACACCAAATAAACGAACGTGAAAGTAAACCTTCTGCTCTGCACGGTCTCCTCAGCAGACGTGCGATGCACGCAAAGTCAGCCAGAGTTGTGCCAAAGCATATAGCCATTCAATGATCTGTACAATTTAGAGTGTAAACGCCCTGATCGACGATACTGTGAAATATTTATCGAATCAGAGTAAGTTCTTTGCTTTTCGCTAGGAGGCGTTGCTGTTCCGTAGATTGAATCAATCTAGTACATAGGCGGACAATATTTTCATAGTGGATCTCTCGACAATATCGTTTATATAAAAAGACTGACACGCGCTTACATATGTTCATGGGCACCAAACATAATATCACGTGGTTATTTCACTGCGTGTGTATTTGGTGTAGATGTTTAGCTCGGCGGGAGTGGATACATGGTACGGATAGCTGCTTGGCTTTTGGTTGAAACTTAGGCTGAAAAAATAGCGTCGGAACTGTTCGGTCAGTAGGTGGTGCTTCGAGAGATAACGCTTGTTTTGGCCGGCTCCGTTTTTGTCTTCGTTAAGTTTTTGGAATCTACGATATCGTTTTCGAATGCGCTGAGAAAGCAAACTGAGTGGTGGCAGCCAGCTGTCGCAGATACTGCGTTTGTATTACGTTGGCCTTTTTGACGCGTGGCCTTTGAGGGCCGGACTTTGAGAGACCATAATGTTACGCGATTTCAGCAGAATGATTTGCTCCCTGGAGCTTCATGTCATGTGGCTAGCATAATTACTGTGCACATGCATTACCATGATAACAAAAGATAACCACCTACAATAGAAATCGTCCATGATAAGAAAATGTGCCCGCATTAGGTTGTCTTCTAGATTTGTATAGTGTTTACTTGCAAGATTAGATAATCTTGCGTCATTAGCTGGACGTCATGCAGGTAGCAGTGTCCTCAATAGGCCGCTAGTGTTACACGTAGCGACTTTTACATTCCGTCATTGAACCTAATCGACATCTGTTTCTGCAAAGATCGGAAGAGGTCATAGTCTGATGTGCAAGATCCAGGCTAGATGGCGGACGCAATCAAATTTCCCACCCAGACTCTTTGAGTTTTTGTCAGGTAGCGGGAAATGTGGTCTGGCGTTGAGCTGGTAAAAGACGACGTCGTTCCTGTTCACTACCTTATTCGTGATTTATTTCAATGGCTTGTTGTGATCTTGCTAGTTTTTGATAGCAAGAATCCAGCTAGTTCGTTTTATTAGGAGAACACAACCCTTTTTTTTTTTCGCTCCAAACACACGGCGTCATTATCTTCGCTGTCCGTTTCGATTTTACCAGAGATTATTGACCTTTTTTTTTGGTGGTCGCATATTATACCTATATATGATTCGTTATTTGCGGCCTATGATCAGCCGGTTTCGGAATGGCCCGATTTCATTGAATCTGTATGGGGTTTCGCAGGTCAAAATACGATACGGTCAAATCGGTTATTTCAGTGTGTTGAACTCCCAGACATTAGACGTTTGTTTGTAGCCGCTTGCTTGTAAATGTTCCATTGACGTTTTTCGTAATTAGTCGACAACTGCTTTCACGCTTCGAAAAAAAAAAACAAAAAAAAAACCAGAGCGCCAGTACCATCGGTTGTCAGGCCCAACTGTCTTCCGATAGTACATGCTGTCCATAAAGAGCACACACTTTTATGAGCCTGGACAAAATTTGCGCTTTCATTGCATTAGATAGCGATATTTTGCTATCCGCGGGGCGATCTATTCTAAGTCTATAACAATTTCACTACAACACATTGACTATTAATTACTATATTATGAAAAGTCATTTAGTCCGAAATATTGGCAATAGTTTTTTTTAACAACGTAGTATTCTACGTCATACATCAGCTAAGACTTGAATAAGAATTTAACAAAGTAAGATTAATTACTCCTGCTTTTCTTTTAATCAGATCTGGTAATGCGCAACCCCTCGATGGTGGCTGATCATTCCAACGAGCCATACACATGTTGAATTCATATTACAATATGATACTAGGTATACATTCGAAAAGTTCACTCATGTGTATCTTGTTTTGTACACTCTCGGTTGAGGAACTGGGCAGTCAACTTAGCGTGGCAACTAAACGCAATCCTTCGTGGTCAACTTCACATAGGCAATATTGTTGGGCATATCTAAATAAATGTATCGGCTAATTCACTTAAAATCTGTAATGATTTTACTTATCGACGCTTGTCGTATCCTACGAAATTTGGGTTGGACCAAATGAAAGCTCCCCTCCACTCCATATATTAGTCCCAATGCTTATAAATTTGAAGCTTTTCTGAGCTGAAGTTCGTTGAACCGTAGTCTTCCTCTCACAAATGCTATATAGTGCGATATCTCGCTGCAAAGTCAACCTCGAAGCTGTAGAGGTCATCGAGGTTTCCTTCGTCAGAAAATCCTTTATTGCAACCAGCCCCACTTCGAAAGGTCGGTTTCCATCTGCTCAGGCTTCGTTATGTATGGTTAAGACAATACTAAAGTCCTCTGAGAATGGCTCAGGCCTCTGACTAATAGCTTCTGAGCAGCCAATCGTTTGATAACAGAAAGCCACGATATCTACGCCGTTCGTTGTCATATTTGAGCTGTAACTAAGATAAGAATATGAAAATGATATAATGAAAATTTCTCGTCTGCAAAATGTCTAGCTTGCGAGCAACTAAAGCGCCCTACCATATCCTACGTCTGTATATTGTATAACGTGGCTTTAATATTGTAAACTTATTTGATAAACGGCAGAACTCTAGCATAACCTATCCCGGATCTCTATGTGCTGTTCGCTAGTTCCGCTTAGAGCCACTGAAATAGGCAACGGATACTAGAGATTTCGTTCTTGCTATGTTTTCTCCCGTAGATGTCCTGATGAATCTTGTATCGAACAGATTTTTTTTAAAATTGCCCTCATCCGAGACGTTGGAATGAAAAAAAGGGTACATAGTTATATATATGCGCTGAACGTGCACGGTATTCGGCGTAAATTAGGACATCGTTAAAAGGGGACTATTTGCCCTAGGGGCGCATGCGTCCATCCGTTATTATTGGTAGTAGAAAAAAGCCTGTTCGATTTGGCTCATTATAACGGAAGTTCAGAGGTCGTTTTTGAAATATGAACGAAGATCACCGAGTATCGAAGATCTCCGCGCTGGACGAAACTTTACCAAGGTTATAGACTTTTGCCAAAGCTACGCGAACAACAGGACAGGGAATCGTCCCAAAGAAACTAGTCGGCAAGGTGTGCCCTTTGGTAGTTGAAAAAAACGTACCTGTGGACACAATGGCTTCAAGGTTTCTTGAAGAGTTCCATTATGATTCTATAAAATAAAGTCGGAAAGAAGTTCCCTTAGCATAAGGAGGCAAAGACATTAGTGCCATTTGCTCGCGAATTCTACGAAGCACAAAACAACAGGCCGTCCCACATTCAGCGACCCAAAATCAATAGCGGGAATAGTCCTTTACTTATTCACGATTCAAAAGGTATGTTAAGTTCAGTGAACGAGACATTATACCATCTTCAGGAAAGCGTATCTATAGCAAGAGAATATTACTTGAATATTCTAGAAACGATGTCGTAATCTTAGATGGTTGTTACGTTGCGTAATCAGCGATACTCGGACATGAAATCCAGTCACCTGTTCTCACTTACAACACAAAGAAATGCGGTCTTTGCCGTGAGTTTCTAATATAGCTAGCTTGACTTTATAATACGCCTTAGTAATCAATTATTGTAGAATGTGCAAGAAAAATAGTCGTTTAAATGCACAGTGTAAATCTGCACATGTTTTTTTTCTGACATCATCGAAAAAAGAAAAAAAAAAAAACAGTAAAAATTTCAACGATTGTAACAATATACGGTATATGGCAAGATCGAATTTGATCGTTCGCCACTTGCGAGTGAATCTGAATCTGTTCAGCCTTTGAGCGTAGATTAAGCGGTTCTAATTTTCGAGCGGGGATCGAAAATTCAGTTAAATAGCCTTCGCAGAGTGAATTCAACGTTCTTTCTTTTATCGGATAAATAGCCGATGCTATGCCTCTTTTAAAAGACGACCTAAACAAGTGACCCTCAATCCCGCAGTCGCGCAGACGACCACGCTGAGCGCTAAGCGGACCTCAGCTGCCGCCAAACATGCACTAAGCGTCGGACATATGCGTGTCCGGCCGAAGAACTTAGCCCCTAAAAAATCATAGGTATCAGGATAGATCTCGAGCGTTCACTTATCTGTAACGTTGAAGCAAACGTTCCACTATGCTATCTACACTTCGTAGAAGCAACAAATTTACCCAATACGATTACGGTTCGACCATGAAGCGAAAATGGCGCTGTAAAATTTAGTTTTTTCGACGACCATCTCGGGGTAGCGCTGCTCCGAACGGGACGCATGGGCTATATGCGCGTGTCAGTGTAGCCCTTATCCTGGATTCGAATTGGCACTTGCTTATATAGTGAAAAGAGAAAACGTCCATACAGGGGCTTTTGTCTCATGCATGCTTAAGTTGTCGACTGATTGCAGAGCGATTTTGCACTCAGTTAAACATATAACTAACATTGGGTTCTGGGCTCGTTGAGACACGCCCAGGAATGAGAAAGTCACGCGAGAGGTGCATCTTTTAAAGACACGGTGTGTAGTACCGGTAGCCTATCCCATGATTACGACGAGACGAAACGAGTTATCACGTGCGTGATATGCGGGTATGAACAGTACCCCTGTCCCAGTGTAGAAATTAGGAGGAAATCAGTATGTGTATAGGAAGATAATAAGCATTTACGGGCGGCGCATATCGTAGATAGTTAGTTACCTTGAACAAAGGTGGAGAAAAGGTAAAGCTTCGCTAGAGATAATTTGCATTTATAATAATATGAGGCCAGGTCGAAGGGACGAAGTTTGGGAATGATTTCTTGCTGAGCAAAATCAAATAACCAACTGCGGTCATGCATTTTGTGTATATGTTAACGGAATATCGAATTTCTTGAAACTATATTTAACGTTATCTTTCTTATTGTTTTTCAGCCAAACGAATAAAATGTATTAAGCTCAATGTACAATAAAAAGCTTAAAGATGTTTTCTATAATGTTTCCTTGTCCATTATTGATTTTATTACAACAAACCACAACTGTCAACTGCTGCTACGTATTGTTTTGGATATTATGTATTGGACGCCATCGGTGAGTCCTATCGGTGGAAGGTGTGTACGGTCGTATCTCATTGTAGAAATCATAGAGAAAACAAATTTTGCATGGACTTTAACTGCACTATCTGTACTCATACAAAATCGTCGTGTTACCTAAAATATTATACAATGCTTATTCAATTGATCAGATGCTACAATACAATCGGTAATTCGAACAGAGTATATACTCTGTTATTAACTTGCTCGTGTTCTCCGGTAGGTTGTACGTCCGTCACTTAAGCCTTTGTGCTTTACGTTGTTGGTCTGTCTACAAGACATGAAATAGATCATATCACACTGCCCCACCATTCCACCTCTAATGGCCGACCGTCATCCTTCACTTCTTAGGCCAGTAGATTAAGTAATCATATCGCAACCTCTATATATGTACGAGGCGCTTTGTTTTCCTTGAGTGGGAGTCGGGGCTTAGTCTATATGGAAACTAGAGATGTGTAGAATCTTCCCTGTGGCCGTTCTGGGAATCCTTTGACAAGCGCCGGCCACGAGGCTATTCACACAGACTTGTTAGACCTTAAGCGGTGAGCCTGCAAGGCTTCGGCGATCTTCCGAGAGCCTGCTCTGTGTTAACCGAGAAGCTCAACCAGTTCCCCTCTGCTCCTTTTGCCTCTTAGTCTTTAGTTGACCTTGCAGGCCCGCCACTTACTGACTACTCGGCCTATCCAACTTTTCTGCAGGCCAGCTGCTCCACTACTCTCTAGTCATCATATGTACCATATACAACATATACGCAGGGCTCACGTTGACCTGTTCTTCCTATATCTTCTGCTGTCTCTACCGGAGCTTTTCCGCTATCTCTTTCTCTACGACTGCTAGTGCTCCTGCTTGCAAAGAGCACCAATGAGTCCATGAGTGGAGTGCAGACAGTCGAATAAGCGACCATGCAGACTGGCTCGGAATTTGCTTTGATCTCCATGAACTAGCTGTGGCCCCACAGTTCCCCGGAGCGCCTGCTGGGGGAGCTGAGATTCGATTGGCTTCAATGCAGGATGTTATGCCTCTGCCGGCAGAATCAACTGGCGGCAGAAGTCGACGCGGCTCAACCACTTGCCTGAGTACCGGCAGTCCATGCGATTCTCTGCCTTTCTGGATTATGATGACGAGCAAAGGAAGATCCTATTATTTCGCTTAGAGGCCGAGCCACGCAGGCCGATTTCTGGTATGGAGTCCTCCTCCCCCAACGCCTCGCTGGCTGTACCCTTGCGTTCACTACCATTGCGCCCACTGTTTT